GGCAATATGCTGACTCTCTGTAAACCGCTTAGAGAGGGCTGAAAGCCCTATGAAGCGGTATATAAGTCTACTGCTATTGCTATTGCTATTTCTCCCAGTTTGACCTCCGTTCTAGGTGTATATGGATTACAGAGGGACCTTCTACGACAAATGGCTACTGCTAAGCACACAATAAAAACTTGTTTGTACAGAACCAATATGCCCATATATCACTTCTCAAACTGCTTCAGTATGTAAGTTCAGTTCATACTTGTGTCAAGATTGCATTGCCCAAAGAGCTGGAAGTCCAATTTTTGCTTCTTTTTAAGAAAATCAGTTCAGGAAATGGCTGGTAGGCAAGTAGAGAATGTCTGGCTCAAAGTCATCCTTTAAAGGCTGTGCCGGTTGATGTTGAAGATCTTCACACAGTGATCCGCCCCGCAGCCCACCAGCTGCAGCCACTCGCTGCTCTCGGCTGTGTCCTGCCCCGCTCGGCCCACACGCTTTCTCCACTGCAGTCGTTTGACAGCAAGGGTATGGCTTTGGCTGCAACAAAGGCAGAAGCTATTAGTAGAAGGAAACTCAAACTCATCTCTCACAATCGCCAAATGTCAAACTCAGCTGGACTTTGTCAATTCCAAACCTCAGCATTTATCTAATTAGTGTGTTCCTTTGACGCACTGCCAGAATGGAAAAAAACTAAACCTGTCACTGCCTGTAGGTATTAAAGATGCCAGAGCTATTATCAGCGCGAGTGACATTTCTTCACTTCATCCCATTAATAATTCAAGCAGCAATCTACTTATTTTCACTGCAATTTCAGGTCAAGCATCAATATTAAGAAAGATGCTGCTACCCAGGAAGCTAAGAATCATACGGGAAATTTCAAAAAAAAAAGGAAAAGGGAGTCAGACTTTAAGCAGCTTGAAGTAAGTGCCTGATTTAGATGCAATGCTAAATTATGGCCAGGAATTCCCTTGCAGGCGTGCGTGCTCTTTATGGCTGGATTCAAAGGTTATCTTTCCCGTTCCCCCATGGCTTTCATTGATCAAATTTGCCATTAGGTCTATAGATTTTTATGGCTGTAAAAGCCTGGAGACTTTATCTTGCTTTTAAACCACTGCTTTTAAATGTGTTTTAAAAACATAGTTCCAAATTGTGTCCTGAAGGAAAGCTGGCCCCATGCTTCACATCCAAATGCCACTACAAATAATGATAAAAAATCAGGAGGGACTCTGCCAGTGGTGGGATTCAGCCAGTTCACACCTATTCAGGAGAACCGGTTGGTAACTTTCTAAGCAGTTCGGAGAAATGGTTGTTGGAAGAAATCT